CTCCTCCTACACCCCCCTTCCTCCCCGACCAGGCCCCCCCAGAACCCCCCGACCCAACTCTAACCCCCCCGTTCCCTGTCCCTTGCCTGCCCCAACTGCTCTCTACATCCCCTTCTCCTGACAGCCCCCCCAGAACCCCAGACGAATCTAACCCCTGTTCCCTGTCCCTTGCCTGCCCCCCCCCCAGGCCGAGGGGGAGCTGTGGGCTCCACGTGCAGCCAAACACTGTGGCACTGCTCTGCGGGGGTGGAGGGACTCTGGCTGCTAGAGGCCTCAGTGGCTGCGAGCGGCTTTCAATCAGGCCAGGCGTCCAATCAGCCGCGCCACACTCTGCATGAGGGGAAGTGGGAAATCCCGGACATTTCTACCGTATTAGCAACCCCCCGCCCCCGCCCGGACGGCCATTTAAAGCTAAAAAAGCCGGACATGGCCAGGGAAACCCGGACGGATGGTAACCCTAACCTATGCTTCCAGCTCCAGTCCCTGCTCTAACCACTAGACAAAACCTTCCTGCCTGTTGTAATCAAGGCCTTAGGAAAAGCTTGCTTAGAGCGTGCGTGCCTGCAACATGCCCATGCTTGTTCTTGGGGGACCAAGGTATTTGGATTAAAGGAGAAAGCAGGTATCCAGGGCAGTACACAGTCGAGTTCTCGGCAAGACTATTTTTAGCCCCAGTTGGTGGGCAGACGCGTATTAATGGCAGCAGCCATCTCGTCACCAGTCCTATCCTGTCAAAGCAAAGGAGGGCAGCCCAGTGCCAAAAAGCCAGTCTACGCTGGGGGTACAGTCAGCGCTGGCAAAGATTAATGCTCAACAGCAAGTTAGGGCAGTGACAAGAACATGCAATCCAGCATCCTGGGTTTTAAAGTGGCAGCGTTTGCCTTGCAAAGGGGAGCCAACATTGTTCTGTGCTAGCAGGGCCCAGCAACGGTGCCGGTGGAATAGGGATCCCAGCCACTGAGCCAGTTCTCAGGCAGTGCTTCCCACCCTCAGACCAGAGCATCAAAAGGCCCAGTCGTAGCTAATCTTTCACTGAAGTGCTGGGAGTCAGTGCAGCAGAGGAAGCAGACAGCACTGAGCCATTTGCTGCATGTGATCAGAAGACTGCAATTCCTGCATCATGCAAGAAGCGACTTCCTGTCTACCTTGTGGTTTCTCCTGGTTTTGGATGCCAGCGGGGAAGGAGTGAGCGAGCATATGCAGGAAGTAGCCAATGCAAATCTTTGCCAGTCATTTGACACAGAAAATGCTGGCCCTTCCCTTCTTCTGGTCCATTCAGAAGGCATCTGCTACAATCATCTTCCATGCCACTTCTTCAGACCATGTTTGAATCCCCCTGCCTCAATGCATTAATTCAAACTACTTCTTCTCAGACCCTACAACAACTCTGCCTCTCCCTTTTGTCCACACATTAAGCCATTCCCCCGCTGTGCTCAACACCCCATTTGGGCAATTTCCCCTGTAATTGAGACTTACAAGGGAAATATATTTTTAAAGGTAGTTTGGTGTTTACACCAGATTAATGTGCAAGTTTCCCTTTGGTTTTTATTGTGCCACCACAATGCCCGATAACCACGGGCCACTACAATAACCAGATCATCAATGCTCTAAACCTCCCTGCCCCTGAGGCATTCAAAGGCAAACACTGGTAGTTTCTCATTCTACAAGTTTGTCCTACATATCAGTCCCTTGATCTTTATTTTCATTCTCTAGGTCTTTGGGTGATACACACAATGGGCCCCAGGCTCCTTTCCCTGACACACTTTGAATTGTAACAGTTTGTACAGAGCCTGACAGGACCCTAACTCTCACCACATGTCTGGAGGTCCACCTGCTGCACTGACATGCTCTCCTGGGTCTCATCCACATAGCCCTTCACATGGCGGCAGAAACAGGCTTCCACCTGGTGGCTGGTGCTTAGTTTGATCTTGCCCAGGAAGTACAGATCCCTCAAGCAAGCAGAGGAAATTTGCTGATTTTTCTCTCTCAATCGCATCGCTAATTGCCCTCATGGGGTGGTGTCAAGCTGCAAGTGCCTGCCCCTTTGAAATGAGAAATACCCATCTAAATGCCTGTTTACCCTAAGCTAACTTGTGAGGCATGCTTCTATACAGATGCCTATTTCCTTTGTTTGCAAAAGCACAGGGCTCGATAATCCCCCTTTGCTCACGTCAAACAGGCCTAA